CCTACGTAGGAATGACGTTGCATTTATGAAGATGAGGAATGTGCGTGAGAAAATGCAGCGCTCTGAATGGGAGGAAGCATCGCCCACATGTTGCGCTGAACAAATAGGCAATGACTCAGTGAATGTAGCAAACCTTCACGGAAAGTAATGGTGGCAATTCCCGCGCCTTTCTGGCGATCTCCGATCAACGACCAACGTGTAGACAATTTTTCGACAATTTCTTTGGTAGGATTTCAAGAAAAAAAACCAAAAGGGGACACTTCATAAAGATCCAAAAAAAGTCGTAGGGTGTGAGGAAGACCTTCGAAAAGCTTCCATGGAAACCAGTAATCTGGAAAAGTTTCTTTGTTCGGAATGGGTCATTTGAAGATCACTGGGCACGCCAACATATCGAACAAAGACAGCCTCTAAACTCTTACTTGGAACCGACTAAAAAGTTCTCAGAAAAGCCAAACCACCGCGCCACCCACCCAAGATGGAGAGAACCAAATGGAGGACTCCGACTACGATTGAGTGCGAACACCTTACTTTCCTCTAATTGAGTACTCGGAAAGTAAATTGTCATCAGATCAATCAATGAACAAAGACAGTCTGTAGAACACATTTCTGTAGGCTACACAGGAGGCACCAACGCTGTTGGAGCTTAAAACCTTTAAATTTAGTCAAACATATAGGGAGTATAATGGATGCCTGGGAAAAATGAAGCTCGAGGATACCATAGGATAGGGGACGGACGAAGACCCTTCCAGAAAAGAAACTATGAAAAAAATCATGGGAACGTAGAAAGGCATTGTAAGGGTATGGTGCAGATCAGTAGCTGGCCTCCTGCCACCGTGCTTCTTTTCCCTAGCCTTCTGATCACTGCAGTTGTTCTAGACAATACCACTTAAGAGCTATTGTAGGTGAACTGTAGAAGAGCCATTCTCGTCACGAACCTTTTTTATTATCTGCCTATACTCATTTTTCATTCCCAACCATCACAAACCACACTTTAGCCACGATTTTTTGCCCTAATGATGCCCTTATTCGAATCGCAGTAAACAAACAGTACTTCTCAAAACTTCGAAAACTTCAAGTTTTCGATTTGACGACGTGACAGCAAAAGAGCAAATATCCTAATTTCAGACAGTAAATTAAATTATTGAAGCAAGCATTTTTAATTGATGGACAACGTGGGCTCTAGAAAATCGATTAATCAATCGAAGACCAATAATTCGCTTCAAAATTGGCGCGTCAAAAATTCACCTGTCAAGGTTTGTGAGTTTTTGTTAACTTTTGGCTTNGAAAACCGATCAATCAATCGAAGACCAATAATTCGCTTCAAAATTGGCGCGTCAAAAATTCACCTGTCAAGGTTTGTGAGTTTTTGTTAACTTTTGGCTTAATTATTATTAGACTACGTAATTTCCAGGAATGCTAGGGAGGTCCCCCTGACCCTGGGAGGTAATTATCACGGGATCCTAGCCGGACCTCATACCAAACCAGAGAGCTTCCAGAGACGAACGAAATCTCTCATGAAGAACTACCTGTGTGCTTGAGGTCCAGTTTTCCTCGACCGACGCAAAAGGATCTCATGGATTCCCATTAGTAAATCATTCGTGGAAGGGTGGTAACGAGAAAAGTCAAATGAAGGAAGTCATTCGAAAAAAGGGGAAAGCAACCCAGAGTCATACGTGCGACACGTATTTGCCCTAAACAACGACTTGTCGTAGCCCGACGAGAGAAAATCAGTGTTTTATCCTCTTAGACGAATTAATTGTAATGAGAAGGCAAAATCAGATGATCAAGAAAGTTAGTCAGAAAAAATATTTCAGGAAGACCCTTTTCCGACCAGCCTAGCGAGAAACTCTCTGAAGGAATGAGAAGGAAAATTCGGAAATGTCCGCACTTTTGGAACCTCAGGGGCACCAGCGCATCTGGCAGACACATCAATCTTTGCAGTAAAGTGGAGGCTTGAGCTCAAAGCTTTGGGTGACTTTTCGATTATTCAAACAAGCAAAAACTATGGTTGTTTCATCACGAATTCACAGCATACCCAAATAATGACGTCATCAGGAATAATTCATGTAAGAAACGTCAGTGTAAGGCGGAAAAACTGCTACACACACACACGTGGGGGTTGTTTAATGAGACTGGCGCATTCATTTGGGCGTAAAAAGTCATTGGAAACACGGTTGACGCTTATCGGGAGCCCATTCAAGGTAAAAGACGACCAGGCTGCGTGTGTAATCAAACCAAACAAAGCATTCCGACGAAGTTTTACATCAAGATATCACCTTTGTCTTAAAGAAGAACCGCGTTGAATCACTAAAAACTTGAAAGCCTAACTGAGATGAAAAAAACGAAGACATTGCAATCGCTGAGGTTTTTTGAGACTACCAACACTGCGACAATAAACAAATAAATAAACAAAATGGCTAATCAGAACAGTGATGCTATTCCACTTGAGAACAGCCCCTTTTACGAATTTCTGGACCAATTTTTGACTAAAAAAAAACGGGTAGTCAAAGGAGGACAGATGCAGCAGCGGTCCGAATCGCCCAGATGGTCCAGAGATCGAATTTCTCCAAGGTCACCTACACTTTACTGAGAAGGCTGCAATCATACTACGATGTTTGTAAGGGCAAAAACTCTTTCCAGAACATCAGATAAGCAACGCGAACTACTGTCCGAGCCCAATACACATCCAACCGTCATCACAACTTGAATGAAGGCTCGAATGACGGCAACTATGTTCGGGAAACGGATAAAGGGTAGATAGATAGATATTACCTCCCAGACATCTATTTGCCTTTTCCCCAATATTAATTGCCTCTCTTTCGTACCTATGGGCTACACAGGGTTTCGACTGTGCCCAAAAATGTAGAAAGCATCGCCCCATTCTTTAAAAAGAGCTCTTTGGAAAGAAACCAGACAAGGTGGTCGTAATGGTGTTCGGAAGAAACCGCAGGGAATCAATCCGCCTGACAAGGTTGTTCAATGGTCAATTTCTAGTTGCAAATGATGTCTAGCCTAGCTGATCTTCGGCATCTTATCAAGAAACTAGTGGTGCTGATCATAGACCATTGCCCAAACCCGGGATCCTAAATTCCCATGTGAGTTTCGCAAACAAAACTTGTCATTCGTAGAACACGTGGGCTCTGTGACTAAAAACATGATCGTAAGGGAAGAAATTACAGCGCAAAGTCTCGGGGGTGACCTTTTTAAACGATGAGGTGCGATGGGATGCGATAAGATCAAGATGATATGATGTAAGCTTAAACAGGAATGAAGCGATTAATGCCAGATAGCCCGCCAATGCGAAAAAATTTTGAAAAAAAACGTAGGAAACCCGAAAAAATCAGGATCTTATCGCATCGCACTTCATGATATCATAAGGTCATCTACGAGAAATCCTCCAAGACCATCCTTTGTGGTTCAAACCCATGTAATTTTCCTATACTTCTTCGTTTCTGTCGCTCGAGCTGGGTCAAGGGTATGGATGACAGCTGTTTCCGCCTCTAGGCTTCAAAATAGTCCACCCGTGGAGTTCTCCAGAACTAGCCAGAGGATTGCTTGACCTAAGAGAGTTCCTTCTCCAATTTCACCCATTACACTGCTTTTGGGAGACTGTTCTACAGGTCCCAGAGTGTGCTCGACAGAGGTGAGTCTTCCAAACGGACTTTGAACCTTTCGAGCCACTTAGTAGGCCATTTTCAGTGCTACAGTACTATACATATATAGCCTATTCTGAGTCCAAAGTTCTGTCCAAACAGGTAATCCGCAAAACCAGTTGGGTGTTTGAGTACTGAGCAAAACTCGACCAACCGTATCGCCTTATCACTCAATAAAAACCATGCGGCGCTCACCGTGCCATTACACTTTTAAGAGCGAATATATAACATCACACTAAGATTTAATAGAAATAGGCCTCTGCTAACTGCAGATTACCACCTCAAGGTTCATCTGCATGACCCATTAACTTCACAGCAGTCAAAAAAGAAAAATAAAAGAGTTCGGATAGTGGACCGATGCACGTTGCACGAAAAGTGAGAGGACAGATACTCAGGATCAAAGGGTTCTTTACTCCATTCCAAGTAACTTATGATTATGGTGTTCGAAACGTATGAGAAGGAAATTTTGCAAAAGTCCACCTTTCTTGCAGAATGTTTTGAAAGTTACCATAGAAACAGTGTAAGAGGGCACTGCCCACTTGGATGTGCATCACAGATTAGCAGTTCTTATGATACTACATTCGGCTGACCAGATCCTGGCTAATTTCCGACCTTCCTGTTCCCAGCTTTGAAGCCTTGGAACGTAGGGTGCACAACGCCGCTTAGAAAAGTCTTCAAGGTCATTTATCTGACACAAGTTCCGATGGGCTTCGGCAGCGGGGTGGTCGGATTCGAACCCGTAAAAAAAGGCAATATGAGAAGACATTTCGGCCACCATGGGGAAAAGGAAAAGAAATATGGAGCCGGGTATATTATGCGCACACAAGTGAGTGATCTCCCTATATAACATCTTCATGGAAGCTTCCTAACATTCCAGGAAGTTGAACTTTGGCAAAATATCCGCCAGATACTTCCCGAGGCACCAAATATGTCTTCACTACTCCGCATCTGGACTCACCACTGGCGGCAGAGGAGTTGACGCATCTTGAGGATCAGTTACGTGAATCGCTTCCTCTCCTTCTTCATGCTCCCTAAAACACGTTCTCAGATTACGATTTCTTCGCTGGCCCATTAATCATCGGGTTAGTTTAAGCGACCACTTGGGTAGATTTGAAAGTCCTTCTGAAAAACCATGTGACCAAAAAAATCACCATGTTGGGTGGTTTTGTGGCAAACAACTTGCATATTAGGGAAGTGGAGAAGCCGGAGCGCCCCCTCTGCACTTAAATTGTTAAATTCATGGCTCAGTTAAATAGGAGGCGACAACCTAACGCCCCAAGAGAACTTCGAGTTCTTAGCTCTTTAAGCTTTACCCAGTCAATGCAGCATACAGCTATAGACTATGACTCACCAGTCTTCCTCGGCATCAGCATACTCGCCATCCGATAATAACGACTGGTAACTTCCTCCTCGACGATAGCGATTATCTTTGGCAAGCGTTTCAGTATCACCAGACCCTACTGAAAAGAGATGTCCAGGAAATTTTGAAATATGCACATAGAACATTGTTGATAGGGGGCATGCGGAATTTCATGCATTTTTTTTTTACGGAATTGGGCATTGTTAAGTTTGACAAAGCAAAGGCAACAATTCGAACCCCCGATCATTCTCTCACACTGTAGACTCGATGTTTCCTTTCTTTTTCTTTACCATTTTTCCAGACGATTCGATACCAATCAACCCAATAGCCGACCCCAGAGTAGAGGGAGACTCGGTTGGCACGAATGGGTATCACTTCAATTCAACTCCTGGATCATGCGAAATGTTAGAAGTTAAGCTGTCGGGAATACATATAGGATCATTGCAAAGACATAAATTCTCACCAGACCATCGCCGACACATTTAACAAATGGTAACACCTGAAGAAGCAACTCGAAGGGTATCGGCAACGATAGCATATCTTCGTTTCAATAATTCTGACTGCTGACTCATGTGCTGCCCTGGGTAAGAAAACTGGATGAGAAACTCGCTATACATTGTCAGTATGAACTTCGTACTGCCAAATGTATCTGCGGGGCCAAAGTGCCGCCGCATCCTCAATGCAACAGCCATGAGGCTTCTTCAGTGGCCCGACTTGGTGGCTGACGTCAAAACAAAAAAGAAATTGGTAAGGCTTCATAGGAGAGAGCAACCGAGGTAAGTAAGACATGTTTTCTTTCTCTCAACCAACAACAGAAGCCCTTGAGGTTCTCGCAGCATAGATCTACTCCATTAGAAAGCAACCTCGTAATGACGCCTCTAGTCACCTAAGTGGGGCGTGGTTAAATTTTCTCCACGAATGAACCAGTCCGGAAGGTAATTGCTTTCTCCATGCTAAATATGCTCAACATGCTTTCCTCAAAAATTTTTCGAGGATAACTTGCCCTTAGATTGACCCTTTCTCTTCCATCTCAGCCCTTTAGAATAAAGACCAAAATCAGGCCCATACGAAAGGATCGTCATGCTTAAGCGGCCCTTCTAAAATGAAAGAGCTTCAAACTTGGGGATAAAAGACAAAGTTTTTGGGCAGTGATCATTCCAGTTTGAGGGATCCGCCCCGCATTCGACTTCCATTCAAAATCGTAGTTGCGCATTTAATGTTTATGTGTCCTCTGCAATGATTTTCCATGGCCAGCCGATGTACAACTCAGATAAAAGTAAGTAAATAACGATGAACGGGCGGAGGTAGTGTAGTGGCAAGTGGCGCACTTCACACGCATGGTCACGGATTCGAATCCCGGTTCGATATCCGTCTAGGCCAACCAAGCCTTCCATCCCTCTGGAGACGGTTAGCTAGTACCAGACTCGTCTAGGAGGATAAAAGCACTGACTTGTACATCGGCTGGCCACCATTGTATAGGCCACAGAACAATGTTCGAATTGACTTTGAACCAAGTAAGAGACCCTCTACTAAAGCCCTTTACTTTCGAGGAACATAACTAGGAGAAATCGCACTGTAAGAGACTTAAATTCCATCACTACCAACCCTGATAACGCAGTATGCTGAGAAATTGACGGCCCTGTTTTCAGCAAACAAGAAATTATCAATAACTTCCTAGAAAATTTATCGTCTGAGATCTTTGAAACAGTTGAAACAAGTAGTAAAGAAACGTGCTGAGTGTGTCTAATACTGTAATTTCCCTTATGACCTTGCAAGTTCCTGGCATTCCTGCGATTTGATGACTTAACGGTGACTTTTTCCTTGTTTCTATGAAAAGATATGATGACTTAACGGTGACTTTTTCCTTGTTTCTATGAAAAAATCCTGTGAGGGATCGCATTTGGTAACTGATTGCACCGTCTTCAGCGAACATTTTTACACAGAGATAACGAATGCATTTCACTTGCTGCACTATGTTCTAAATTCTAGGAAGAATTTTTTCTCGGAAAAAAAGAAGCAGAAGTCGGAATTACCACCACTAAACCAGAAAAAAGAGGGAAGCAATGAACGTATTCAATCTCAAGTCGAAAAACTTTTTAGTGGAAATACAGTTGAACCATCTCGAATTGATGCTATGACGTAAATTAATGTCTTTTCCAATGTTATGCTAATTCCAAAAAGTTTTACAGCGGGACCTTCGTTACAAACACCCGAAATGTATCCCATGATCACTCGTCGATGCATTTTGAAGTTTCAAAGCTCAAGACCTGCTATCTTATCAATCACGATAAAAAATCTGCGCTTCCGGTGAACCAACTCATGGCAGCCGAATGGCAAATTATCAGCCAATTCCCATAGACCACCAGAACCGGGTAATTTTTTCATCAGAACCGGGTAATTTCTGGAGAGAAACTCCTGGAAAATAGAAAAGCAAAGTAGGAAGTTGAGGAATAAAGCAAGGAAATTAGGAATTCCACTAAGCAATGAGCGAGAGTCTAATGCTCACTAAAGGTCGATATGCAGGTAAACAGACCAAGAAACAATAATCTTCAAGGTGAATATATCAACAATGACTACTAAGCGACTCACGTTGAATAGCGTCCAAAGCTCGAGGGCGAGCTTTCGTAGGCGATCGACGTCCCGGATCCTTCAAACCATATTTCAGCTCATTTACCTCTCTTCTAAGTGTTTCCACCTCGATGCTAAACTTCAATGATTAGCCTACACATCTATTTTACCAATGAAAATCAAATCAAGGGCAAATGAAAAGCACGAACATCAATTTCTCCATTAAACGCATCATTTGGTCATGTTCACGGCGAATTGAGCTGAGATGTTTTGACCAGACGTATACCGCCGCCGCGCCGATTCCGGCTACAACAGTCGTCGTAAGCGCTATTCCACTAGCTCTGACGGCTCGACTTTCCATATTGTCTGAAGGGAAAGCTACGCAATAAAAAAGGTTCATATATAGTAAATGGAGAAAAAGAGTAATTCAAGCATTTTGCGACAATGGTGAGGAAGGGGGAGGTCGTCAAAATTAGCAAAACTTCTTCAAGCTCCGTCCGAGGCCGAAATTTCGCCCACAATTGCCCATCCCTGTGAGAGTTTCGTATCGAGTGAAAGCGAAAATGAAGCGAAATTACAGCAGTCAACAAAGCATCGAGTCAAAGCAAATTGAATCATTTCAGAAAAAACTCTCAAGGACCATGAAAAAGAGGCGATTTGAATCGTAATAATGTTCCGAAAATGTTGGACTTCAACAAAACATCGAAATCAGACAATGAGGAAGGAATTGACTATAGAACACCCATAGATGAACAACGCATTTATCAACAATTAACGACTAATTGAACAAAACGCTGAAAAAAGCTCTTCTCTTGGCTGCCCCTTATGAACCACATTACCCGGAAACCGGATTACAGTACCACAAAAAGAAAATGTTCGCTTAGGATTCTTTCAAAAGGATTGTCAAATTCAATAAAAAAATTCTGGTCACAGTAGACTTTTCCAAAGAAATAAATCAACACACAACGGAGCTTTACAACCTGGAACAGTCGCATGCCCAGCCACTCAGTTAAAAACAAGAGTTGAGGGACGAGATGACTAAGAATCATAGAAAACCCACCGGCTTAGTAGAATAAAGAAAAAACAACAAATGTGTGAGGTTGGAACTGAGTAACTTCGTATTTGACCAAATACTTCGACACTTACCTCAAAGGACAATTACCTGATCTCGAAAGGGATCTATACCTTTGGACCACGTACCTAAGATTTATGGCAAAATGTAACCGAATCAATAGTTTCCTTTGTAAAAAAGTAGGGATATTCCCCTTAACTAATCACATAGATGCCCAATTAACTCGAGTAACTTCCTTAAAACGAAAAAAGGTAGATATTTGGTTACCTAACTGGGTACCGCCTTGGGTATGCATAAGAACGAACACCATGCAACATTGAATCAATACCACCTGCATGTTCTGATGCACTAACAACACCCATAATAGGATTGGTACCATTACTGCATTAAGATATGCAGGTAGCATTGATTGATTTGACAAGGGAAGGATGAATGAGCTTCTCAAAGACTTTAATAATCAGGAATACTTTGAACAAAAAGAAAGGAATCCATGAAACAGGACAATTCATGGGGTCTCATTGTTCTACCAGTTAACCACTCAAGCGCTCGCTATCCCGTGCCTTCACACTTTACAACCCAGCAATTCCATCCTCAGCACAAGAAACTAGTTTCGATTAGAATACGACTCAGGCCCGTTCCACCTACGACCCTAACCAACTACTGATTTTTTCGGCCAATTGAGACCGAGGACGACGCTCGATCACCAGATGAAAGCGGCAGGATTCTTCAGCAAAGGATGACCATGGCAGATCAGGTCATTAAATTCAACTACGTAATCAAATGAAAAAGAATAACTTTGGAAATAAGCAAAAATCGAAGTAAAAAGGTAACGATCGCAGTGATCACAGTCACAACACTCGAGAACAAAAAAAAACCCGAAAAAAAACGGAAAGCGGCTGCCATAGGAAAGTTTTCCTAAAGGGAAAAAGTGAAAACGGTTATATTCAGCAATTCCCGAGATGGTTTCTTTCTCGAAAGTGAATACTCACGGTGTGGATAGCAGCAAAGACGGAATATTAAGAGAGTTGATTATTCCTGTTCTTGATTAATCATCTTTTCGCTCTTAGGCCGAGATTTTTATACCCCAAAACTTCAGCCTTTTGTTATCAGTTGTCCTAAGTACCCAAAGATAAAAGTAACCGCTATCTATTTTGATAGAAGACAGTACAAAATGGAGCTCCAGAAAATAAACATCAGAGCAATGACTCAACAAACCTTCACTGAACAGAAAACAAAAAAAAAACACAAAATCAACAAAATGAGATATTCAATAAATAACGGAAGTATAGATCATATGAAAAAGACGGTCAAAAAGTGCCTGTTCAAATGCTATTTGAAATAAGTAAATAAGAAGTAGTAGAGAAAATTACCGTAATCTCCATACTTTATAAAATATCAGCACTAATAATACAAAGAAAAAGTTGGCGTACTGCGAGAAAGGAAACAACAATAGGAAAAGAATGGTCTTACCCAACTAAATCACGAGTCCAAAAATGGAAGATTATGGACTAAGGTGGGAATTGCGATTTTCAAACAAAGTTTTGTGTCAATTTGCTTGCTGAGAGCTTGGGAGGTGCTGCTATTCAACCTAATAGGAAAATGCTGTCGACACAAGTCACATATCCTGAACCACGATTATCGGGATATGAGTGAATCCTGTTCAAGCCAGAACCGCAAACACGTTTTCGCGGCACCGCTTTCCAAATCCCGCACAAAACCATTTCGTGGAAGAGAAGAGAACCATAACTTTTCGCAGAGAGTAGTGAAGCGCGCAACGCATGACAATAGCAATTAACTACAAGATTAAAGTGGTAATACTGAAATTTAGAAGTAAAAGGAAGATGTGGATAATGAAAAAAGAAGATGAGTGCACTGGACGACTTGGAAATCATTCATTAACCACGTGAGAAGGATGCTAGAACTCATTTCTCCGAGAGGGTATTGGGTTTGCCAGTTATCTGAACATCTTCCCTTCGTTCCAACTAAGCTTGCACCGGCTCCGAATTCTGATCCATAGGTGTGTCTAGCTTTAGCTTCTTCGTCTCCACTTCAGATATGTTCTCTTCAGTTCGCTGTAAGGGAGATGCGTGAACCAATCGCGGATCCAACCTTCCTCTCACTTACCTCAGCATCTCCGATCTCAAGAGCCTTTCTAGCCATAGCCAAAGCACCTTCCAGTGTTTGATTACCTCCAATGAACCCTAGAAAAGAAATTAGTTTATGTCCTCGATCTGAAACGAGCTCACGCCATCAAAGCCCAACAATCGTAATGGCTTTTGGATATGTATAGGCCTGAATGAAAACTTGATGGAGCTAGCACCTAACTAACTCCCACCCTTCATTTCTCCCACCCAGACTAGTTTGGCTTCAGCGACACCGATGCAATAAAGAGTTAGCCGGATTTTGATTCGAAATATGATCACGGGAGGCATAAATATACATAGCGGTAGGAGAGCCTTTCAACGTTAATCTTCCTCTTACAAAAAGCGTATAAATTCAGCCTATGTGTGAGAATAGATCTAAATTATCAAAAAAAAAAGACTAAAAGCGCTGGCTCATAAGAAAAATTTACATCTGAACAAAAAACCAACCAGTAGTGTGAACGAATATACATCCAGGTATTCCGCTGATGTCTGAAAGCTCTTCATCTCTTAGCCCTCGCCATGATTTCGGTAAGGCCATTCTAAAAGACTGTAATTTATCCAGAAGGCAGATGCTAAACTGTACTTCATCATCCGGTCTGGTAGGAATTGTGATACATCATAATGATGACCAGAACCAGAGTTAAGCAAAAGGACCAGAAGCTCAAACTGCCAGAGCGGCATCCAATTTATAGCTCATGAAATGCAGGGCAGCTAATGGCTATGCAACTTAAGCCCCTCACCTGTTGTCAAAGGTTGATAATCTACTGTTTGGTATCGCTTGTATCCGATAGCTCTTCGCCGTCGTATCTAAAAAAAAANAAAAAAAAAGTAAGGATCTGTTGCGGTATTTACACAAGGAGAACGTGAAACAAGTGAACTATCGGACAGGCATGAATTCGCAATAACAGGAATAGAGAGGAAGCCAAAAACCATTCTAATGAGCGGAAGTGAAGTTTCACATCGTCGAATCTTACCTTCAAAAATGACGTATGTCATTCTTCGAGATGCCAAGCCTTTTTCTTCCTCGAGATCAAAGAAATGCTCTTTCCATGGGACGCCACCGCACGAAATATAAATAATTCGTCCGCTACTGTCAACCTACAAAAATAAAACTCAAACGGTGATAAGTTCAAAATGGAGATGTGTCCGAAATAAACTTTCAATATGTGAGCCTCTATCGCCAACACAGAGAACATAACAGCTGCTGTACGCCGAATACAAGCTGTAACCTATTAGGTAGGGATGGAGAGTGTTTAACCCTGTTAACCTTTGCACTCAAAACTGCTAATGCTCAAAAGAGGACGAGGATTACAGAACTTTCACAAAGCTTGCCTGCGAAGATTCTTCAATGGCTTTTTCCACAATTTCACGAGCAGGCCACCAAACATTGGCTAGATAAGAGACACTGGCTTCGAATTCACCTGAAATAGCCCTTTTCAGGGATAAATGGTAGAGGAAACTTTCCATAAGCTCTACTAAAATTCCTCCTACCAACAAGATACTGCACTCAGAACCCATACTTTACGTACAACTATTAAAAACCTAGTCGCAATTACTCAATCATTGGTATGTCATAAGGTAGGACGTATAAGTGCGATGTGAAAGGCATCCAAAACTCTATAGTGATCACCTCCTATCAGTTCCACTGCTTGATGAAACCGTTCATCCGGATTGACGTCTACTTCGTTCCAATGCGGATTAAGATGTCCTACGCGTCCGGAAAGTCCACCGGACATATAGTACCTACGAAGATACCGTTAGCTATGGCAACCCAATAGAAACCTTCGAAAAACCTTACCTCGGAATACCATCATATTGCGGTATACCATTATCGATTGCATCTATGGCTTCAACGAAAGTCTCATAGAGTTTTCTAAAGAAAATCCCTACCATTCTATCTTCGTGAGAGGTTCCAAGTATCTGAACGTCATATGTTTCATTGACGGCGCAGTTATTCGAAAAGCAGCTACAAAAAGATAGAGGGGAAATCAGCACATAGAAGAAAGACCACAATCTAACCAAAGGAGCCCGAAAATTCACTAGATGAACAAATGTGATACTTTAGCCTGGCATAACAGGAGCAATGTAAGTGTATAATTTCTAAAATGAAAGAAAGCCCTACCTCAGCAATGAGTTGTCTGCCGTAATGAGCGTATATTAGCCCTGCCGAGCTCAGCTTAGTGTTGAAATCAAGCACTCGCAGGGTTTGCATGGTTTCTTCGAATCCTCTGAAGATTTTCAAAATATCTTGGAAAAAGGAAGGAATCAAAAGAGGTCGAAGTTCTGGTTTAGACCTTTTCAAACTTTAGAAGTTTGTGCTCGGATACTTCAAGAAGTGCTTTGAGGGTGGAATGCGAAGGAAGAAATCAGCAGCAAGAGTTTCGGTAAATTGCGACAGCGGACGTTTTTTCCCAGAGAAGAAGGAATAAAGAAGAAAAAGATTGGAGCCATTCGGCGTATAAATCGTATAAAATTATCTCGTATAGAGAAAATACCTTTGGTGGTGATCATAACGCTTCCTTGAGTGATCATACACTCCGCCAACGTCTACTACAATATCGCAAGTATCAAGGGTAGACTGATCGCGAGTTCTGAAGCATGTGAAAAACGTTCTGAGAAGACATAGACAAGGGGACAAATAAAAAAGAATAAGTTGAGGTTAATGTTAGCCTTTTTCAGTTTTGAATGGAATCTTAACTGGACACAGCTAACAGATTACCTTGCTATTGGCAATGCCCCAACGAGGCTGTGTAAAAACGTATACATCCACCGCTCTCACATTAAAATATGATTAACAACTGACCTTACAACTGTATAGTCCCTGAACTGATTTAGCCGTTTCAGCATATAACAGGCAAAGACCTCATCGCAATGAAATTTGCCGTTGTGGGTACCAATCACTCCTACCATCTCGAAAGGTTTAGCGTAGGGGATGGGAGCAGCACGCAGCAGCGGAGCGATCGTCGAGCAGCTTCGCCAAAATTGACGGTAGAAGAGAGCAATTATGTCGCTAAAATATACAGAACTCGAAAGGATCACATACCAGCCAATTATGGCAAATAAATAAGCACAGTATACAGAATAAATAGTTAGTTCGGATTCAACGTTTGACGGTGGATTAGCAGCACTGTTCTCAAAGCTGTGGAGAAGAATCGTCCAGGAGCTTGTCCATGGGTAACGAGTCTCTCCATTTGAGGACTTGTACAGACCCAATGAAAGGCGCTCCAGATCAGGTTACTGTAAGGCTTGGGGGTGGTCTCATAAATACATATGACCTCGGTTACATCAGTTTTATTTACGGGGGAGCTGGCTATGTTTACGGTAAGACCTTTAAGAAACCACCAAAAGAAGATCAAGATTCCCTACAGTTCGGTAGTATCTTATGCTATCTACAAGAGCTCTTCAAGTTACTGAGCTGAACGGGATGATCAAACATCGAACGACCCTCTGAGTAAACGTTTAACATTTTCAAGCACTTCTCAGCCAAATATCTCAAAATGTTTGCTTTGCTAACAGGAATGACGTAGCCCACCACTTGTAGCAAAGACTTTGTAGATATAAGATTGGCAACTAAGCAGTAGCACATTTTTTCTAGGTACTTCGTCCATTTATCTTGGAGGTAACACGTGTTTTTCGTAAGTTGATTTGTTATGGGCGAATATAAAACTGAACTGATATTTCTTGTCGTAAAAAGATAATTAAAATTTTCAAAAAGATATGCATTAACTTGATGGCCAACCTAATATTACCAAGTTCTAATAGTGCAGCAAAAATAAAGAAAAAACTCGGCTGCTCTCTCTGAATATCAAAAATATACAAGGCATACTATGCATGGCTTACTCTGGGGAATCTAAAAACCACTTGAGGGAAGCCTCCTTCATGAGTGTAGGAGAGATACGGAAATGGAGATAGAAAAAGACAGATATCTTCCTAACTGTTTGTCAAAGGTGTAGATTTTCAGAAGGGATTTCGATGTACACTGATGTACACTAGGTAATATCACACTTGCAAAGTCTGAGGATAGTATCACACTTGACTAATGAAAACGCATGGTTTTACACCAGGACAAGGAGTACCTACAAATAGAAAATTTCGGGGAAGAAAAAAAAACCGAGGAAACTAGTGCTGCAATAAAAGAAACAGCTAAACTTGGTTTTTGTAAGAAAATCAGCAAAAATTTTCTGGCAACAGCGAGGTCAACCTCTTCCTTTCCCAGAGATCCGTAGGCATATAAACGGCAATGAGGAAAATAATTAATTCAAGATAAAACACGACCGGTAGGCTCCAATTGACAAGTAGTTGATGGCCAGTGTACGGGTAATCAAAAAGTTAGTCCCTGAACCTAAAGAGGTTCCTTGCTCAACCTAATACAAACCAGTGGGAATAGGTTGAGGAAAGCATGAAGACTACCCTACATGTTAGGGAAGCACAATGAAAGAAGTTGCTGTAGAGGAAAACCATCGACGAAGTGCAAAGAGAAATACTACAAAACTGCTTGTTTCATCAATTAAAGTACACGAGTCAATCGAAAGATTCCGTGCTTTAGCGCAATCTCGTTTACCCTCCGAGAAACAGCGCGTCTCACGCGTCGCTTCCAAAAGCACTCAGTGCCAGTGACGTCACTTCGCGGCATCGCCGAGTTTTACGGTTGTTGGTTTTTCTGGGTTTTTCGACGGGTTTTAGGGTTTTTAGTTAATTCTGAGGAGTTTTATGACCGTATAGTTACGTCAGAGAAGTGAGTGGCGAGAAGTCTATCTTTGTTGATTTTGTTAACTGAGTTGTGTTGTTGTTATCTTGAATCCCAAATTCATTTTTATTACGGCTATTATACGTTTCCTGGTCCTTCCTTTCTTATCAATCCACGTGATTCAATATTTCTTGCTGAAGTTTGTCATGGAACCGCTTCTCATGTGTTGCTTTTCGGCATTACTCTGTAATGGATTTTAATTTTTTCGTGTTTTTTTTTTGTGAGAAATTGAGGTCCTTGTGTTTCAGCCTGCCAGGTTTGCGATGGTTGTTGGCATGGCTGAAGATGGCCAGTCCGGTAATGGTGTGGCGCAACAACAACAGAATGAACAAAAGGACGAGCAGGTATGGTAAAAACTAAGTCCTGAACCTTTCGCTCAAATCTTTTTGCATAACTTAAGTTATGTTATTGATCAATATTACTTTTGAATTTGGTGGGAACTGTATCATGTTTTTATTATTACTCCTAAAGTAAAAAGTGGTCCTCGTGACCTATTTCCCAATGAGAATTCATCGGTGATATGAAAGATTCTTAGTGTAAAACGTATGCAGTTTTTGAGTTGTGATATCTAGTAATAACAAAAGAACGGCCCTATGGTGGATTCATTGGGTGTAGGTAGGCTTTCCTATTTTCCTATAAGGCTATGATCTTTATATCAGAATCGGCGTCCACCATATACCATGCACGGCGTACTTCATTTTTTACAACATGAATGGAGTAAATATGAAATGGAAAAAGCCAAATGGGAAATGGAGCGCGCAGAAATGCAGGTAAGTGGTCAATTTTTTCTGTTGTGCCACATTATCGATAATGATAAGCAAAATTTAGGCACGAATAAGCTTCTTGCAAGGCGAGAGAAAAGGGCAAGAGAATCTGAAAGCTGACCTCATTCGAAGAATAAAGATGTTAGAGTATTGTCTGAAGCAAGAGCGGTAACAGTATCATTTGCATTCATTTTATTTTTCTTGTCTCTATTCACCTTCATGAATTTGAGAAAAGAAACATTCAGAGCTAAAAACTATCGATTGACGCATAATGGTGAAGATCCGCCAGAGTACGAAGAAGCAGAAAATGAAGTTGCAAATGGTAACACTCTAGCTGTAGTAGCTTTTAACGCGCTCTACTTACAAAATAATCGATTTATTGCTATTCAGAAGTAAGTGCTCCAAATGAAGTAGATGCTTATGCCGCAGAAGGAGGAAGTGCATTGGGTTGGAAACAAGGGCGTCAGCTTCTTAAGCAATATCTGCAGGTTCAATATGTACTCATTTCAAAGAGTTCTCGCATCACTCGAGAATGTAGTTAATAGAGCTGCTTGTTCTATTTTTTAACAAGCATTCTTTAACTCCTTTTTTCCAGGAAATCGGCTACAGTGAACAAATACTCGATGTGCGCTCTTTTCGTGTCAAAAATCTGTTAGGACTAATCCCTCAGGTAATTACTGCCTTTTTTCTTCATGATAACTTCAGACTTATGATGCCCAAGCCTTCTCCTTTTAATCTACCATGAGCATGAAGGTAATACTCCTCAAATACTAAAAAATTTTAATTTTAGGGCGATTGGCCATCCAACGAAAGGGCCACGGGGAAAGGTCCCACAGGGCAGAAAAAGGACTTGGATAGGTATGCTCCATCCTTCCATTTGTTAATTTCTTCAGTGACAGCTCACCTACACTTTATTGATCTAGGCTTCCAGTGGATAAATGGAATTTTCTGCTGGGTACATGTGTAGAAATTTTGCTTTGCTGTTGGAGCTGTTTGGGTCTACCCATGATTTCGCTTTCTATTCGTGCTCTTCCATTCGAACAGATCAATAAGCATACACGCTCAATCTTAAAACAGTGGTCGATATTTCGCTTTCATAGTGATTAGAACTGAATGCATAATTAATAGACAGTGGGCGCATACCGTTCGCTTTATATGGAACTAATTCTTTCGCTCCCAACTTTTCCCAGTCGGCAGTATTAATAATTATGTATGATAGGTACTTGACTGTACTAATTTGTTACTTTACGCTATTTTCAAGAGAGTGTGTGAACGATATTTCAGTGATTCTGAGTCCGACGAGCGCAATGTGCCAAGGGGCGGCTTGGATTCAGAAACTGCCGAGGCTCTCGAAAAGTTTGATTTTCTTCATGAGCAATCCTCAGGTGCTGGCGCAGGTCGTGATGAATGGGCAGCTACAGATCAAGGCGTGATCGATCGTCTGAAAGAAAAATATAAGTGAGATTTTGTTCTGTATTGACACTATTTCTGAGCAGTGTCCTTATCTATGTGTATTTTTTGCTTTCTCAGAAGTGAAAAGCGCACGAAGAGAAGTTCGGGAAGTATGGATGATGCGGATGATAAAAGACATAACTTGAGTATGTTTTTTTCGATTTTGTAATGGTTATTAATTTTTTCGCGTGGGCTGGTTATTATAAAACCAATGTTCAATGTCAGAAAGTGCACTGAACCGTCAATACGCCCTTTTTAACATAAAATCCTCTATTTTATTGTCGTAGATGACACCGTCATAGCAAGCGGAGGCGGAAATGCTGGCAATCCCGCTGCAGGAGCGAGAGGAAAACGAGGAGAGTTTCTCGATATAAATGATGCCCTTGGCTTGCCACCAGATGAGAATATTGACATCAAGGATGATTTTATAATTGAGGTAAGAGCAAAGAGAGTTCGAAAGGATAGGTTATTTTCTTTTTATTATATTAAAAAAGAGAGCCGTTAATCTTCCTGATCTCATTACGCGATTTCGATGTGACATTTTCTTCTAGCGGATATCCAGATAATTCTTCTATCGTCCAAATTCTATGCAAAATTAATGAGTTTGTTTGCCGTTAACAAATGAATTATAAGCGCGTCTTTTCACCAAGCGCCATTTCCGACGTGGAGGTGTAGATGTGAGATTTTATGGCAGTACACATGAACTTCACTTCTATTCCTCCATCATCCCAGCACCTGGCTTACATGTGCCATTTCGCCCTTTAACGTAGCTCGAAAAACTACCGAAAAATGCAGATAGGTACATATCATGTGGCACCATCGCGTGTATATTTGTGTACAATACGAGAGTATTTTTATTTTTTTNTTTTTTTCAGATATGGATTGTCTCTAATTTAAGTTCCATTTTCAATATTGATCTTTAGGATGATGAAGAATCCCTGAGAGCTGCCAAATGGAATGTGAAAATGACTCTTCGTTCTCATCTTGACGCTATACGGGCAATGCAGGTGTGTTACAATGTTATCATTGGGTTGTAACATAAGTTCTAGAGTTTTGCGTTAGAGTTATTTTACAAAGACTTGTTTCGTTTTTCAGCAACGTGCATACATTCATTCGGAGGAGCTCTTTCTCCTCTACAAAACTGTTATATTCATTTTTTTGAACAACTTAACTGTTCGTCTTTTTTCTGGCTCAGAAATGGAATATCCAGGAGAAAAAAATCACCATTTTCGACATCTGCTTTTTTTTGCTTTTCATCGAGGTCAAAAAGTAGCCGAAGCCGCTCCGGACAATGCGGTGTGTACAGGGAAGGTGTATACTGCATAAAAATGGTTTGCAAAGTTTAAAAATGGTGACTTTGACCTTGAAGGAAAGCCTCGAAGCGGACGAGCTGCAGCGTTCGACGAAGAGTATCTGAGGCACTATTGAAGAAAGATGGTAGCCAAACAACTCGTGAATTGGCTGATTATTATAATAGCTTATTAAATAATTCTTTATTATAATTATTATTATTTTTTCAAATAAATTTTTGTGAAAAAACTCTACGAACTTATGTTACAACCTAATAAATTACCGCCTCTTCAACGTTAATTAGAATCATTTTAGTTCCATCCTGTGGAACCCGTACTGATTACAGCTGGAGAAGATGGCACGGCAAAGCTGTGGAATCTTGATGGGGCCAAAGAGAAAGGTAATATGGGCTCCATTTTGTTCAGAGGGAAAATGAGTTTACTTTTTAGCTGCGTAGTGCAACATTTGAATCGTTGTGACATTCCTGGCCGTCGCTAGCTTTCACTTGTATTAATGCTTTTAATAAAAACGTTGACATGCGATGTGATGGCGTCGAATGCTTTGTAAGAACCCACGACTGTTCGAGTTTCTCGCGCTTTTTCTTCTAACATTGCGGGGATGGTTCGGCATTACCAGATCGGATCTCTATTGATTTATTTTTAGTAGGCAAAAAATTGGTGCCACAAGGCCTCAAATATTACAGTGAAGATTGAGGTATTGTTAGGCTAATGACTTGAACTCCAGCTCCACGAAGTATCAAAGTAGATTCAGATGTTAGGCTTCAAGTGCTGTGTGAAAACTCTGGGTGCTTGTCGGCATAGTAGCATATATTTTATTAAGTAGTTCCATCATCGATTATGTTTGAAACTTACTTATTAAGGAAGCACTTCTGAGATCGAACCTGTGTACACGTTCCGAGGTCATCTGGATCCTGTTCTATGCATGGACCTTTCACCAACTGGCGATCATTTGTTCACAGGTAATTTTTTGCTAAATTGATATCAACATGTGCTTCTCACAGACGAATAGTGCTTAAGTTTCTTCTAATCTTCGAAGAGTTTCAGGAGGAAAAGATGGAGTAATTTGTTGTTGGAATGTGCCAAGCACTACAGGCGATCCATATGAGGCATATGGTAGGTTTTATGGGATCTACTTAAGCATTCATAGCATTTCTTTTCTATAGCCTCAGGATATGTTGCATTTGCATCTATTATGCAGTAGATCCCTGGGGGAGAGTCGTCAGACGCCGTAAATTGTGCCTTTTCGAGCACTTTATCGAAATATTCTTTCTAGGTCCCGTTTTTCTTTTCATTCTCATTTTTGTAATGGTATGTTAAAGCCCGTTGAAGAAAGTCGGTTTGTTCGATTAAGAACAAAGCACGACAACGTTGTTCGCTGAACTGGAAACGATTTAGGAGGCTTTTCATGAGGAATTGTTTTTTTT